TGAGGTGAGAGCCGAAACAAGTAAGCATGCTATTAGAGGGATTTCTTCATTCCCCAATTCAGAATCCGAGACCGAAAAAAACATATAGCCCAAACTCAAAAGTGGTACTGTGGCCCTTGTTGTGTTAGGGGTCAATGGTGTTCTGCTACTAGGTGGAACTGGGGCTGACTGAAGTAATGAGGTGGACAGCAGAGGGAACTGCGGTTCTGCAAGTCCATCGGTACCAAATATTTAAACAGTGCTCCATGGGGCAGTGTAGTCAGCTGTGTCAGAACCAGCTTTTGTTGAGGTGATATAGTAATCACCACTACAGTGACAGTGCACTGTCCTGAGATGCCCAGTTCTGGTATCGGAAGTGTCAGTGCTGGGGGCTGATCCTGGTGCCATATTCTTCCCCAAATGGAAGATTTCTTACCCGATAATTGCATTTCTGCTAGCAGCATTTCCCACAATTCTGTTACGTATGGGCTATTCCCCTCCTGTCTAGTTTCCAGAAGCAGTTCAAAGCTGTAGCACAACCTGTGCTAGCCACACCCCGTTCTCTAGCCAGCTGTCAGAGAATTTATTCCAAGGCTATGTAAAAACTTGTAGAAAATAATTAGTAACAATAATTCCAATGCCAACCAAGTAACTATGTACAGTAAGTCCTTGCTTATACACAGTAAATATCCAAACAAATGTGGACCCTCAGGGGGAGAACTGACCAGGGTCAGAAGAACTGTGGGAGTTGTTGATAGCAGAAAGGAAATGATTGGGTAAACAATTTTGTTACATATGGGAAAGAGAGAGCAATGGACAGGAGTAGGGAGAGATAAGAGAACAAACAAAGAAAAAGGGGGGGAAATGCCCTTTTTCAGGATTGTTCAAACATCAAGGTTATTACGGGACCACTGCCTGCAGCACCCTCTTGCTGAAGGAGGGCACTGAGGAAAACCAAATCCACTCTATAGGGTGTGATAAAGGTGTTAGCCTATATCCATGTCGCAGCTCTGCAGATCTCTGTGGTGGAAGCACACACTCTTTTGGCCCACGAGGCTGCCATGGATCTTGGGTAATGGACCTTGATTCCTTTTGGAACAGACACTGGATGCCTTGTATGCCTTAAGAATACACAGCCTGATCCATCTGATGAGGGATAGCTTGGATATCTAAAGCCCTGATACCTCAGGTGAAAAGAAACGAACAGAGTCTGATCTCCTTGTGGATTCTGTATGCTTGATATAAATCTTTACTGCTCCTCTGACACTCAAGCTGTGCCATAGCTTCTCAATCAGTAGCTGTGGCTTTGGACAGAATGAAGGGAGGACAATCTCCTGCAAGGCATGGCAAGGAAGATTTACCATAGGCAAGAATGTTTGTGAAGTTCTTAGCAGCACCTGGTCATCATGGAACATGCAGTAAGATCCTGCTTAGATTCTCCCAGTTCTGAAACTCATTTGGTGGACATGATGACAACTAGAAAACAGGTTCTGGCAGAAAGATAAAATGGTGATATAGATGCCCGTGATTTGAAGGGATTGGTGGTTAGGGCATTCAGCACCAATGTTAGGTCCCACTTTGGGAAGCTTGGGTTGATCGCTGCTCTGGCCAGTCTAACTGCCCTAAGGAACTCATATCTGAGGTTCTTGGCCAGGGAGCCCAAAGGGCCTGCAAAACAGTACACTACTGAGGGCTGACACCTGGAGTGCTTGGCTGTAGTGCCTTATCCACTCCTTCCTGAAGGAAGTTCAGAACAACTGGAAACCCAGGATCTCTTGTATTTACTCTATGCTCTTGACACCAAACACTGAATTTGGTCCAGATGGAGAAACAGGCTTTTAGAGTGGAAGTGCTCCTAAAAGAAAGCAGAGTCCCTATCACTTTGGAAGACAGGCCAAGCATGGCTAACACTTCCCTTCCAACAGCCAGGCTGTCAGATGAAAATGGCCTGGGTCCTAATGGAGAAATGGTCCTTAGTAAAGGATGTATGCCCTCACCAGTATCTGCAATGGTGGTTCAGCTTTAGTTGTATCAGGCTGGAAAGCCAGGATCTTCTTGGCAGGCGCAGAGTTAGCATTAGCACCTTCGTTGGTTCTTGTCTCATCTTTTGGATCACTTTCCCTATGTCATCCAGGAAGGGATAACAGGTGAATACCCTGGGATCTGATTCTGGCTATTATCAGCTCCAGCATCTTTGTAAATACCCTTGAGGCTGAGGAGAGACCAAATGGCAGAGTTTGGTACTTGTAATTATGCGTACCATAAGCCAATTTCAGGAGCCTGCAGTGGCAGGGGCGCACTGGAAAGTGAAGGTATGCATCTGGTAAATCCACTGAGGTAGGAAGTCCCCTTAATACAGGGAAGTCACCCTCTGGAACTTTGTTTTCTTCATACATTTGTTGAGTCTTTTCAGATCAAGGATGGCCCTGACTCTACCAGTGTACTTCTGAATAATGAAGATGATGGAGTCAAACCCTGAGAAGCATTATTCTGGGGAACTCTATTGTTCACATGTCCAGGAGATGTGAGATCTCATTCTGGACAAGCTTGCACCTGGTGAGGGTGTTGGTGACAGGAGACTAAATGAAGGGATGGAGTGAAACCCTTAGCTCAAGGAGTATCCATGGTGCACTCTCTCTCGTCTACGGTAGAAGCAAACCATCCCTCTGAAAAGTGGGAAATTCTGCCTCCCAAGCTCAGATCTGGGCAGAGGCACAGTCACTCATCAGCATAAGGAGCCCTTGAAGGTTGTGGGAGTACCTCAAGTTTTTCTGTACGCTCCACTCCAAGGTTTTGCCTTAGTATGTCTGTTACCTTTCCTCTGGAACCTCTGTGAGAAAGAAAGATGAAAGGAGCAATTCTGTCTGATTGTGGATTTGGATTTCCTTCTCACAGCATGAAGTGGAGAGCAGAAGGACTGTTTAGGTTTGGCAGCATTTTCAGCCACTATCTTGTCCAATTTTTCTCCAAAGAGAAGAGGTCCTGTGAATTTAGAGAAGCACAGAACTTGTTTAGAGTATCTACATTCCACAGGCTGTTAAATACCCACTCCAGGTGGTGGAGAGAACAAAGAAGGCTGCTCACTACTGCCTGAAAATGAAAAAAAAAATTTAGAAAGGAAAGGCGAGGAGCAAAGAGAACCACCATGGACAGGTGTCACAAAGGCAGAAGTTCTGGCAGCAGGCCAGAAAAAGGGGCATGGCTAGGTCAGGCTGTGCTACAGCTTTGAACTGCCTCCAGAAACTGCTGATAGAAGGGGAATAGCCCATATGTAGCAGAAGAGTGAGACACTGAAGTGCAGAAGTGCTGGGTTGTGGCACTGAAGCAGCTCAGTGCCGAGTTTCAGCAAGAGCTGTTCTGAGCTGCGAAATCCCCGCGGGGAGGTTTTCCTCTTAGGGGAATCCCTGATGGGTGACCTACCTCTGGGGCTTATAACCCCATGCAGTCTGAGGGGGATGTCACTGTTGTAGTTGGGAGCAAATGTTCAAGTTGGAGCTCTCAAAGTCACAAGCCCGTATTGACACTCTTGGATTCAGAAGGCTCACATAACAGGGTGTACTTGACAGCTCAGCTCGGAAGCTGGTCTCGTTCATTTGGTCATTGGGAAGACATGAAGTCAGGCCTCCCTGCCCTTCCTAGTTCTGGAGCTGAAAGACTTACAATTCACATGTTTACTGGGAATGTGCATCTCTCCCAGACAACAGAGGCACTTAGGGTACATCTACACTACAGGGGGGAGTCGATTTAAGATACGCAAATTCAGCTACATGAATAGCGTAGCTGAATTCGACGTATGGCAGCCGATTTACCCCGCTGTGAGGACGGCGGCAAAATCGACTTCTGCGGCTTTCTGTCGACGGCGCCTACTCCCACCTCTGCTGGTGGAGTAAGAGCGTCGATTCGGGGATCGATTATCGCGTCCCGTTGGGACGCGATAAATCAATCCCCGAGAGGTCGATTTCTACCCGCCGATTCAGGCGGGTAGTGTAGACCTAGCCTTAGAGTCTCCATCTGAAACAGGAATAGCTCTCTCATGAGGGGCAGTGTTTAAACCTAGGTGAGCTGAACAACGCCAAATCAAATAACTAATAAAAGTTGAAATAGGCAAACAAACTAACTAATAATTAACACTCTATTTGTAGCTGGGTAGCTAAGGCTATCAAGAAGGCTGCCAGTGTCTTGGATTGTTGGGGCTCTATCTCTAAGCTATGAGGTGATGAGAGGAGCTTAATGGTAGCGGGCCAGCCTGCCCTTATATGCCATCACAGCACAGGATGATGACTGGAGAGCACACGCATGCCCTACGGGCACTGATGGCCAAAAAAACACTGGTCTCTCACAAGGTGCATGTGTACCATCAGTAAAATGGGCACATGGACAATTACACAAAGGAAGATTTCAAGTTATGTAAAAATTGATTGAAGAGTTATATCTAGTTAAAACGTATTTGCTTTTTTAATTTCACTTCCACTTACTGTTTGTTTCCATTAGCTCCCAAAACGTGCTAGTGGCTGTACAAACACACAAGGCACAGCCCGTGCCTTACAACAGGGGTAGGCAACCTATGGCAGGCGTGCCGAAGGCGGCACATGAGCTGATTTTCAGTGGCACTCACACTGCCCGGGTCCTGGCCACCGGTCCGGGGGGCTCTGCATTTTAATTTAATTTTAAAATGAAGCTTCTTAAACATTTTAAAAACCTTATTTACTTTACATACAATAGTTTAGTTATATATTATAGACTTATAGAAAGAGACCTTAAATTAGAGTGAATAAATGAAGACTCGTCACATCACTTCTGAAAGGTTGCCGACCTCTGCCTTACAATATCGAGACTATTATTTACATACAAATGTTTTAAATTTGAGAGAAGTTGCTTATTTCCCCCAAATGATCCTATTCCATGAAAAAAAGTTTCAAACCCCTCCTCCACTATTTCCAGTTTTTGGCTGTGTTTGTATAGAGGAATCTTTAAAAGATTTATTAGGTACAGTCAGCGTTTTAGTGATAGAACTTTCCTACCTCTGTGACACAGATGGACAAGGGAAGGCTTGCAATTGTCTGTGACTGTTCTAGCGCATCGAACGAGGTTTGCATAGCCTCTACGATCTGCTTCTGAAAGTCCACATTTACTCTAAAAAACATAATCGAATACAAATATAATCATTTGAGCACTATGTTCTGGGATTTTTCTGAAGTGAGAATTTGAAGTTCTGTTTAATAAAAATGAACCTGAGTCACTTTCTATCTGGGTCTAAAACAAAGTTGAGGCACTTATACCTAGAAAGAAAGATATGGGCCCTAAAATGCATATATTGCAGTATGGTCTGTGCTTAAAATAAATAAAGGTAGAATGGGGGAGGGCTATGAAAATCCAACAGACCATTGAGAAATTATGTTTTATGTGCCTGCTGTGGCATAACACATAATGATACCTGCAACGTAGCAGCTGCCCTACCAAATTCTTATAAAATTCACAAAAGCCTAGATTTAACAACTGAGTTTTCCACTATGGCATCTCTTTTAAGGTAAAGTTATGAAAAAAGAATTTAGGTTGATTATACTAAGGATAAATTCTATGTTCTTAAAAAGAGAATATTTTGGAAGTTCCTATCCTAGTAATTGACAAAAGTTAAGAAATTCAACATTAATCGTCAGACATAGATGGGCTGCCTACGCTTCTTAAGGTGCTTTAATAATTAATATTCATATGGATCTTACCAATCATCTTATGGGCTACATAAGCTTTGTTTAAAAGTCCATATAATCAATGGGAACTCTCAACTTAAGGCCATAATTCTGCCTTCAGACATTTTAATATTTTAAAATATTATATCCAAAGCTTATGGACTAATTTCAGAGTTGCAGCTAACAGGAACATTTGGCAGAGAGCTGTTTCAGCAAGTTGTGTCTAAGAACGGGGTAGAGTACCCAGGGCAAGCCACTGTAACAGATTCTTCTGGCAGAAACTTTTCCCTGGGACCACTGGACATGGCCTACTCAAGTGGTCTACACTTTCAGTCTGATGGATTCTCCATAGGAGAATAAATGGTGTTTGTCCAAAATTTTTTATCAAGGTTTGTTCATTTGTATTTAAGAATGGTTAAGTATTGCTCAGTGTCACGAGCCCCTGTGGAGGTTTCAAGAGGTGGAAGGACACTAACAGAGCTTGCAAGCAACACAGGGTGGACACCACTTCTGCCTAGACTGCATCTCTGGCCACAAAAAGGTGGGTTTCCCTAATATCCCCAATGTGCTGCTACTACTCCCTTTTGGTCTTCAAGTACCCCCTCAACTACCACTACATACATATGCCTACCTGTTGCTCACAAGATATTAACTCCATACGGCAAGGCTGATGGGTAAGAACTCTGCAGGTTTTGAATATGCATTCAAACAGCTTTTAACCAACAAAATACCCCTAAAACTATTCAAAACACACCAGTCCCACTAAGAAGAAATACAAATTTTAGGTTCCTAGGCCAAGCCATTTTTGACTTATAAGTAGCCCCCTTCACCCCCCCCCAAAAAGTGTTCAGTTAGTGATTTCACCAAAATTTTTCTATTTAACACTCTGTCCAAGTCATCTAAACCCTCCAGAATAATTCTGCCCTGGCATAAGATTATGTCTTTGATATCTGAAGTGGACTGGTTTAGTTTTGGTGACGACAGAGGTAGTTCACACTTGATCTTAAAATAAAAAGAGACCTTGTTCCAACCTAGGACTATGAAGAGACTAGTCTCTCTCCATAATGCAGTACCTTGTGTGCCTCAATCCTGTAAATGTCGCTACCTCCATTTTTCCTTCAATCATTTCTGGAGGATGAACATTGAGTTCAAGCGGAATTCTTAGCTGAAACATTTTAAGTGCCATATACACTGCCGGAAGAGTTTTAAACCGCTCTGCTGGATTACGGGAGAACTCCACAAAGGCTCTGTTTCAAAAACAAAACAAACAAACAAATCCTTGAAGCAGGTACGTTATTTGAGTAAAAAGTGGATCTGTTCTTCTCCTGGCCCACTTCTGAGCAGGTAAGAGAAATGCAAAAATGTTTGTAGTCTCACAGCCACTGCTTAATCTGTCCTATGTAGCTTTAGAACACTTTTACATACGATCATGGCTATAATGAAATTATTCTAGTATGCTCAAGATTACTGCATACTGCAGACATAGCAATATAAATAGGAAGAGTTTTGGGAAGATACAACAGAATTAATCATGAAGATGTTGAAATCTGAAGGAGGCAGAGAAAAGCAATGCTACCAAGATTCTCAAACACTGGCAGCCTTTTTACACAAAAGAAGAAAATGACAACAGTAGGTAAAAAGACTGGTTTCTCTACTACTAGCTGATAAACGTACTCAGCCTCAAGCCTGCTTCTCTCACTCTGCCCAACATTTGATTTTCAGCGTACACATCTCCTCAACTACTTATACAGATCACATCACAAGAGAGATCACTAAATGTTGCAGACAGATCACAGGGTAACAAAAGCAGTGACATGATTTTTAAATTAATCTCCACTCATTACTTCATAATTAGGACTTATATAAAATAATACATTTTTACTTACCTTGTTCCATCATATGCAATGGATTTTACTTGACCACACTGTCTAAAGAGTGACTGCAGCTGTTTATAGTATAGGAAACCATAGGGAGGAATGTTCTTCAACTGTCACAAAAAATAAAGTTAATATTGGCACAGTTCAAAAAAATTTAATGGATTATGCATTTAACCACAGCCTTGGAGTATTTGCCTTCTCTAATATTCAAAAGAGATGTAATATTTATATCTGTAGTAAATGCCATCAAAATTCTGATGTTATTTTGAATACAGGTAGATTTTGTATCTAACAATTTATTTTTAAAAATAGGTACCCCAAAGTTCCAAGAATTTGTGATTAATGATGCCCTGCTTCCTCCAAAGTAATAGCATAACATAAGTATTCTAAATAGACCTAACCACAGAAAACCAAAAGGAATAGTTTAACTTCAGTGTAAAATGTGTTAGACACATAAGTACTTCTGCATCAAGCTAAGACTATAACCCCTGAAAGTTTTAAACTATGCATACAATTTTTTTTAAGTGACCTATCAGTGGCTTGGTTTGACCTCACACCTCTCCTTTTTTCTTTTATATTTGTTTTGCAAAATATGTACATTGAAATACCTATGACCTTCTCTCACCAAAAAAAACCAGAAGACCCACTTTGATCAGGAAGCAGAACTTAAGATTCATTTGCACAGTACACTGGTATTACTCCAGCCAAGCTACTTAACGTTAATTCCATCCTCTCTCTTTGTATTGGAAGGAAGATGGAATTCATGTCTTCCTTGCTCTCCTTATGACTGTGCCCAGTGTGCAGGCTATCATAAACTGAGGATATCAATGGAATTCCATTATCTCCTAAGATTTTCCATATGAGTTAGTATTCCTGATAAATCAAAATAGTCCATGAATACAGTCATCATATGTGACCAAGACAGTGAAAGAAGGGGTTGCGTGCAATAAGAAATTCCAGCACTTCTAGATCCAAGCTGACAAAAAATTGGGCTATGAGCAAAATCAGAAAAGTTACATTCAGGTAAAAATAACAGTCTCTCAGACTACACTGAAAGCTTGTCTCTATTCCATGAATTTGCTGAATGGGTCAATTCTTTGGTGGCTAAGCAGCAAAGCATGTGGAAATTCATTCATGTGTACACTGTTGCGCATCTTGCTCTTCCCTCAAAATCTAGTCTGTGGTTTGCGTTTAGCAATTTTTACCCTCTTTGAGGCACATCAGGCTGGAGGTCTGTCTTCTTTAAAGCACAAATAAGCACACAATTTCACAGTTTCACTTTTTTAGTAAGATAATAGCAATGCATGGTGACAAGTATATATCTGTCCTAGTATCTATGTATTTATGAACCATTTTTACAGTTTATTGCAGCCATTTCATATTGGCATTTGTTCATTGGACAATGTAAACAAGACTTAGAACAGAAAAATGCCTGGAGTGCAGCACTTATAAGTAATCCTAAAGTAAAAGATAGGTGTGTGATGCGTGTGCAATGAGGAGAGATTACTGAATAGTAATATTTAAATTACAGACTCCAAGGGTTTATTTTATAAATACCTACTAACAAGTACCCTGGATAGTCATATCACGTTTTAAACCTATATCAAAGTGAGTGCTGGTTGGTCATAGGAGACCAACATTCAAATGCTAAGAACCAGTCCTTAACAGGAATTCTTTCAAAACAGTCCACCCACACAGCAGGTATTAAAACTGGGAGGCTGAAAGAGGGGAGAAGTCCTTCTGTATAAAGATCAAAGCACAGACAATTATCCCTCTTCTGTTGCAAGAGAGAATGAAACTTCAAAATATCACCCTCAACACTGAAATCTCACGTAATTAAAATACACAGTAGATTACTCATTGCCTTAACATACCATTACAACGGTTTTAGAATCTCTGCCAGCCAGTTCCTTCACAGCAATTTCTTCATCACATTGTCCAAAAGTAAAATAGTTTGGGTAGAAAGCACCTGCCATTACAACCTGAAATAAAGCCAATATTTTGCTAAAATGCAACACATTGTATTTAGTTCCTCTCAATGGGTCATATTTGCCTTTCAATGCAATTATAGAACAACTACATTAATGAAAGCTCTGGTGTGTGGCTAGCCCCCCTCTATGGGAACTATTGTAAAATATAACATTTCCGTTTAAAATTACAAGGCACAGATTCCTAAAGAATGATTTAATAAAAAGGGATTCCCTTCTAGAATAATTTCAATATTTTATTTAAATAGGTACGTACGATCTGGTCAAATTATGAAAATCCATTGGCATGGTGGGCAATGCCCTGTGTCTCAATCACCACATAAAATATTCTTGACTTTCACAGTCGTCATGAAATAACTACATGAACAGGGTTCTGTAGAGTACATAAGACTCACTCACTTTACACTAACAATATTCACATTAGACCTCAAAGCGTTTGATGGCACAGACCTGAATTAAAATTTCACTGAAGACTCAATAAGGGGTTGTCTTTCACATCACCAATAACTATCTGAAAATAAGCTCACTCCCTATCAGCCCAGAGCCAATTTCGCTTGACAAAGAACTGAAGAGGTTATCTGCACAAAATTTGGAAGTGATCCAATTTTTTCAGTAACTACAAAGCCAATGAAGGTCCAAATGTGTCATCCCACACAGAAGTAATGTAACCCACTCCTGGACCTTTTAATTTGCTAAAATTTTTATTTTTATTCTCTACCCCGAGAGTGTCCTTCCAAACTAGTTTATTTTTATGATTTAAAGATTAATTTGGACAGGTCACAGCAAAATGACATCTCATCAGGTTTGGTTTTATTTTGATAAACTGTCAGAAGTGAAGGGATAGCCACTGATCCATAAATAACAGTAACATGAATTGTATCTCTATTTTCTACACTAACAAACCAAAAAACATTTGATGATCCCACATGAACTGGGATATAAAACTAAAGGGAGAAAAATTAAATTCAAACACATGATGGACACTTGTTTGCATTCAAGTGTAAAAAGCTTGCTCCAAAGAGTTTAGAAACAAGTACAACAGATTCTGCTTAATAGCAATCCTGATATTAGCAACTTCCAGTTAATGACAATATGTAGCTAAGAATCAATCCCATCCCATTAACATCAACGTTAACAGGACTAGGATATAAGCAATGGCATGGTGATCATTAGCAACTTTTACTTCTGGGGAAATTCCCCCCGCCTCAGAATTTCTGTGCTTCCCTGCAAAAAATGTCAGGGAAGCAAAGGGTGATAGGGCGGGGGGGTTACCCTGGACTGCCCCCCCAAACAGAGGTGAGGCATGGAGGGGAACATGGGGTTATGTGCCACTGCCCCCGCCCCCCTTCATTTCTGCAAGTGTAGAGCTGCCCAGCTTAAGGAGGATGCATCTCAGCTCTGCTGACTCTGCAGCTGAATGTTGCCTCCTGGGTCCTAGTGCCAATCGTGCTCCCTTCTGTGTGCTTGGCGCCTTCCTGTTCTCTGTGCAACAGTGCGTGCTCGCAATGGAGCTAGGTAAATGAGGGAAGGGGCGTGTCAAACATACAGCTAAGGGTAGCATAAAATCCCTCCTTACCTATAAAGGGTTAAGAAGCTCAGATAACCTGGTTGGCACCTGACCAAAAGGACCAATAAGGGGAGAAGATACTTTCAAATCTGCGGGGTAAGGTTTTTGTTTTGTGTTCCTTTGTTCTCTCGGAGTCAGCAAGGAACCAGGGCAGGGAAAATACATCTCCCTAAGCCATATCTGAATTAAACATCTAATATTACTATTTCTGCAAGTAATAGTGAGGAAATGCATTAGATTTATCTTTTGTTGTGGCTTGTGAATTTTCCCTGTGCTAAGAGGGAGGTTTATCCCTGTTTTTGTAACTTTAAAGTTTTGCCTGGAGGGGAAATCCTCTGTGTTTTGAATCTTTTTGTTATCCTGTAAAGTTATCTTCTATCCTAGATTCATAGATTCTAGGACTGGAAGGAACCTCGAGGGGTCATTGAGTCCAGTCCCCTGCCATCATGGCAGGACCAAATACTGTAGACCATCCCGGACAGACATTTATCTAACCTACTCTTAAATATCTCCAAAGATGGAGATTCCACAACCTCCCTAGGCAGTTTATTCCAGTGTTTAACCACCCTGACAGTTAGGAACTTTTTCCTAATGTTCAACCTAAACCTCCCTTGCTGCAGTTTAAGCCCATTGCTTCTTGTTCTATCCCTAGAGGCTAAGATGAACAAATTTTCTCCCTCCTCATGACACCCTGTTAGATACCTGAAAACTGCTATCATGTCCCCTCTCAGTCTTCTCTTTTCTAAACTAAACAAACCCAATTCTTTCAGCCTTCCTTCATAGGTCATGTTCGCAAGACCTTTAATCATTCTTGTTGCTCTTCTCTGGACCCTCTCCAATCTTTACAAATCCATGCTGGTTATTCCCTATCACCTTACCACCTTCCAAGTGTTTGCAGATGATTTCCTTAATTATTTGCTCCATTATCTTCCCTGGCACAGAAGTTAAACTATCTGGTCTGTAGTTTCCTGGGTTGTTTTTATTTCCCTTTTTATAGATGGGCACTATATTTGCCCTTTTCCAGTCTTCTGGAATCTCTCCCATCGCCCATGATTTTCCAAAGATAATAGCTAGAGGCTCAGATACCTCCTCTATTAGCTCCTTGAGTATTCTAGGATGCATTTCATCAGGCCCTGGTGACTTGCCAGCATCTAACTTTTCTAAGTGATTTTTAACTTGTTCTTTTTTTAATCCTGATTTTACAGAGGTGATTATTTTATTTTTTTAAATAAATTCTTATTTTAAGACTCCGATTGATTTTTCATTGTTCTTAAGATCCAAGGGTTTGGGTCTGTGTTCACATGTACCAATTGGTGAGGATATTATTCTCAAGCCTTCCCAGGAAAGGGGGTGTAGGGCTTGGGGGAATAATTTGGGGGAATAGGACTCCAAGTGGTCCTTTCCCTGATTCTTTGTCCAAATCACTTGGTGGTGGCAGCATACTCTTCAAGGAAAGGTGAAATTTGTGCCTTGGGAAAGTTTTTAACCTAAGCTGGTAAAAATAAGCGTAGGGGGTCTTTCATGTGGGTCCCCACATCTGTACCCCAGAGTTCAGAGTGGGGAACGAACCCTGACGGGGTGAGGGGAAGAGGCAGTGGGGACGGAAGAGGGGGTGGAATAGAGCAGGGGGAGGGGAATGTGGGGGGAAGGGGAGGAGGATGGGGCATGGGGCAGTAGAAGATGGGAATGAGATGGAGAAGAAAAGGAGATAAGGAAATCACAGGGAGAAGTGGGAGCCCAGCATGCAGCATTCCCCGGCAGCAGCTACGACTCCCCCATTAGACAGGCCCTACCCCGACGAATCCCTCACCCCCAGACTCCCACCCCACTGAACCCCAGCCAGCTGCACCTGGACCTTCACCCCATCAAGCCCCACTCCCCCAGCACCTGGAACCCCCCCCCCACTAAAACTCTCCACACCCAAACCCCCTGCCGAGCCCCCCTCTTCCCACACTCAGACTCCCCCCCCACTGAGCCCCAACCATCTTCACCTGGATCCCCTGCAGAGTCCCATTGCCCCTGCACCCCCCAATGAGCCCCTGTGCATCCAGCTCTCCCACTGAGCCACCTGCACACAGAAACCTCTCACCCCACGCCTAGATCCCCACACACTAAGCCCCTCCACACTTGGATCCTGCCGAGCTGAGTCTGCCCACTAAGACCTGGTGCGCCTGGCACAGAGCTCTGGGGTGTTTCTGGGGCAGGCCCGGCCCTTGCACTGTGTCAGGGTCTGGTTCAACTTCACAGCTGAGTCCCTGTACCCAGGCAGGTGGGGGCTTCAGGGTGATCTCCCACCTCAGTGCAGCCAGTGGCCTATGCTCCCCACTGCCATGTGGGAGACACATTTATTTGACAAATAAAATTTGCAGAATTTTAAAAATATTGTATACATAATTTTTAGGTGCAGAATTCCCTCAAGAATAAACTTTTTTGGAAGAAAGGCGCTACCTGCAGGCAGGTTTGTGAGTCTGCAGCCCCAGAAGGAAGCAATGGGATGTGCAGAGACCTCCTGCAGGCAGGTTTGCAAGGCTGCAGCTAAGGAAGAAGTGCTGGGACATGCATTCTCTAGCTGCAGCCCTGCAAAACTTGCCTGCAGCCAGTGATCACCTTGCTGCCCTTCCTTCTGGGGCTGCAGCCCAACAAACCTGGCTGTACATATGGAACACTCAGGAGATAAGGGGCTCTGGGCTGGGAGGGCAGAGCTAGGGCAGAGCAGTATCAGGGAGAGGGGCTGCAGCCCGAATGCCGGAGCTGCACCACACATCTCCTTCCATCTTCCACACTGTGCTCTGTGGTGGGACTGCACACAGGGAAGGAAGCACAGGGAGGGGTATAGGCATGCAGCTTTGTGGGACCCATTGTCCCCACTTCCCAAAGAAAGCCCCAGCATCTGGGCTGCAACCCTGCCCCACACCTCAGGTGCTGCCTTCCCTGCAGGCAGGTTTGCAGAGCTGCAGCCAGGGAAAGCACCTCCCAGCGCTTCCTTGCCTGGTTGCAGCCTCACAAACCTGACTTCTGCTTATTAGCAACTGCCAGATAACTTTTTGCTGGCATAAATTATTGTACTGTAAATTAAAGTATTGCCACTCCAAAAGAAAAATCAAGAAACCAGCTATGTATATTAATCCTCCTACCTGCAAAATGAAGCGCTGTTTGTACATATACTCCTGATCCAGAACAGGTGGTTGAGTATTAATATACATGTTGAATGGTTTTATTCGATTCTTCAGCTCTTCAAACAATTCAGCCACCTGAAATTTTAATTCTAAGTAAGGCTAAACAGATTAAAACCATTTACAAACACAAATAAGAAATATATAAACCTGCAATAGAAATTGTCAGTCAAAATGGGGAAGCTCCTATCCATGTTTGTAGGAACCACAGGCATCAATTTCATACAATATATTATTGTTGACTAATATACGCTGTCTAGCACATTAATATATAACATGTATTATATATATATTGTTATATTGGGTCACATTATATCGGGGTAGAGGGTGTGTGTGTGTGTGTGTGTGTGTGTGTGTGTGTGTGTGTGT